GGTTGTGAGGATTTAAAGCAGGCATCCCCAAAGTCGGTCCTGGAGGCCCCCTGTCCTGCAGGTTTTAGAGGTTTCCCTGCTTCAGCACAGCTGGTTATAATGATTGCAGTAGACCTGTTAATCTGTCAGTCTGTTAATCAGCTTTCAATTAAAATCAGCTGCTGGAGGAAGGAAACCTCTAAAACCTGCAGGACAGGGGGCCTCCAGGACCGACTTTGGGGATGCCTGATTTAAATCCTCAGAACCTCCCCTCTTCCTCACCCCTTCCTCCCCTTATCTTCTCCTCCTCTTCCTCAGGATGCCAGGCTCCGCCTCCAGTAGCTGCTTAGGGCCGTGGCCCAAAGATGTGGGGGTCATCGCCATGGAGCTGTACTTCCCATCCCAGTATGTGGACCAGGCCGAGCTGGAGCGCTTTGATGGCGTGGCGGCGGGGAAGTACACGGTGGGACTGGGACAGGTCCGGATGGGGTTCTGCTCGGACCGCGAGGACATCAACTCCCTGTGTCTGACGGTGGTCCAGAGGCTGATGGAGCGGAGCGGCCTGTCCTACGACTGCATCGGCCGGCTGGAGGTCGGCACCGAGACCATCGTCGACAAGTCCAAGTCCGTCAAGACGGTCCTCATGCAGCTGTTCGAGGACTCGGGCAACACGGACGTGGAGGGCATCGACACCACCAACGCCTGCTACGGCGGCACCGCCGCCCTCTTCAACGCCGTGAACTGGGTGGAGTCCAGTTCGTGGGACGGTAGGTCAACGATCTCTGAGCTTCGCCGTCTCCGTTTCCCGTTTCACCTCAGAAACGGGCCTGAGGAGGTTCTGCCGTGTGGCAGCAGGAAGTCCAGCTTTGACCCCAAACGTAGAGCTGTCAGAACATCTCAGGTCCATAAACCGTCCGACGGCGTCCTCTAAAGCCCGTCGGTCCAATCAGAACTGGGATGATTTTAATGGCGGCGGGAGTCTCACAGGAGGAGCTGAAATGATTTCAGGATCATTCAGGATGCAGGTGTAGGCACCAGATCTGCTCAGGCCCCGCCCCTTCTTATGATGTCATCATATGGAAAGTCCACCCTGACAAACTGCGTTGCACCCGTTTCTTAGGAATCAGATCTTTTCTGGAGTCTCAACATATTATTCTCTATATTTGCTATTATTTTACATTTCATCGGCGATCTAAAGTAGAAAACAATCATTGTCAGTCTGGATGGAAAGTTCTACGTTCTAAGACTGACTGAGCTCTGCTATTTAACCCTTTATAGGGAAATCAGTAAAATACTTTGAATATTAACATTTTCAGCCAATAGGATCAGACTTTATTACCTTTGAAACATCAAAATAATCTGGATTATTTTGATGGTAAAAATGAATATTAATGTAATAACAAGAAGCATCAACTCTCCCGAATATATTAAGAAAAATAACAAAAATTCTTCAGTCAGAAATTCATGAAAAACACTCTGATAGTGAAAGAAACACATTTGGTCCAATATAACCTTAGAGGCATTAATGCTGATACTGGAACTGACATTTATTAGTTTATAAACCTTAATATAATAGTTAACTAGGCTTATTAACTTTTACAATTTTTACCTTTTTTCTGGACTTTTTCCAACTGAATTTTTCAGTAAGTAATCAATCATTCAGAGGCTCATCTAATCTAAAGGCTTAATTAAAGAAAGAAGTCCAGAGATCTTTACTTTGTTAACTAGGCTTATGAACTATTACGCTCTAACCACTAGCTAACAGGTTAGCCTCTTTTAGCTCGCTCAGTTAGCCATATTGAGCTAGCCACATCGCTACCCAGCTCTTTATATCATGGTTGAACAGCTGCTACACATTTTTTCAGTTTTGTTATCAATCAGTTAAAACTTCATGGGTCATTAGCCACGCTAACGCTAAAGATGCTACAGACTCGACACACTGACGCTGCATGATGTTATTATGGTTGCCTAGGAAACCATAATGATTTACATCATGTGGGAACGTTCAGCCAATCATGGCGTAACGTCTCTGGCAGGAAGCAGGACCCAGCAGCTCTGGGAGCTACAGCAGTGGTTTCCATGGCAACAGCATCTGTGGTTCATTTCCTCCCAAATTCTTCCTGTTTTAATGAGTTTAATCTTTCTGCCTCCTCCTTATCAGCGGCTCTGGGCAGCATCACCTTCTACCGTCACTCTTTGAATAATTGTTGATAAAGTTTGATGATCAGAGGTTTTTAACCAGCGCTCTACTTTAGCGCTCAGCTGTTTGTTCACGCCGCTCCATCTGATCTAGAAGCCGTTATCCATCAGAACTCTGACCCGTTTTCTTTCTGCAGGACGCTACGCCCTGGTCGTTGCAGGTGACATCGCCGTCTACGCAACAGGAAGCGCTCGGCCTACAGGGGGCGCCGGAGCGGTGGCCATGCTGGTCGGGCCGAACGCGCCTTTGGCCTTTGAAAGAGGTGAGGGTTGATAACCAGAGCAGTGACCGATCCGCAGCCAGTATGCTGCCATGGCAACAGGCGTGTGTTCTCTGAATCCTGCAGGTCTGCGGGGAACGCACATGCAGCACGCGTACGACTTCTACAAACCCGACATGGTGTCCGAGTACCCGGTGGTGGACGGGAAGCTGTCCATCCAGTGCTACCTGAGCGCCTTGGACCGCTGCTACGCCGTATACCGCAACAAGATCCACGCCCAGTGGCAGAGAGGTGGGTTCTGTTCAGCCGGGAGGCGGGGC